TGTTGCTCTAGGTCGGCAGACTCCATGGCACGGGGTTGGCTCTGGCCTGGTTACTTCCGTGCGTTTCTTGGAAGGAAGCAGTTAGTCTGGCTTAAGTCCCTGAGGTGACCACCGCAGTAGGCACTCACAGTAGGAAGCATTCAAGCTGAAGGTTGATGACAGGCAACCGCTTTGAGAACCGTCTGTAGCCCTTGTACTCTGCACACCTGGGGCTGCCAGGAGTCTGAATCCACTTGACGGCAAATAATGACAACAGCCCCCACCTGTCATATAGGGAGCTATACACCAGCGCCCGGTTTCTCTCAGACAAGGTCCAATTGAGAAGTCCTAGGGCAGCTCCGAGATACAGAGGGAACCCTGGACCTGCTCTCAAACTGCTTACTTGACACAGAGTAACAAAGCAAAAGCTGGACCACTTGCATGTGTATTCCAAAGTATTAAAAAGAAATTCCCTTTATAACGGACTGTGTAAATGTTCCACTTAGTTTTTGAATATTAAAATATGCTTCCTACACGGAGTTCGGATCACCACACAGCTCAGCAAGCTTTTGCAATGGGATTATTCAGGGCCGAGTGAGTGAGCGGCCAGTGAAAAACAACCACCCTGGATCGTCTAGGTGTCTTAGCACTGCGTCTTCGATTCAACCCATCTCTCTTCCGGAAGATGGAGCTACAGCATTTTGGAAGGACGTCCTGAAAAGCCTTTATAGCCTGCGACCTTTCCTGTGAGCAACAGGCTGAAGCTTTCAAAAGCAGAATATTGATTTATACAATGATCCTCTTATTAACTATCCCTTCAAGATCATTCAATACGATAGCCTGAAGCTGACTTTTTCACTGGGTCCCCTTCTAAGGAATTACAATAGAAAACAATCACCAGTAATATTATTAACAAATTTGACGTCTTTGTTGTTGTTGTCAGTGGTCAAGTGCTAATACCACATCACAAGAGAATGTAACAACAGACAAAGCAGTCTAAGTAAGAGAGAGAGAAACAGACCACATACAAAATGTGGCCACCAAACAGAACCCAGGTTAGCAGCACATGAACCTCCTTGTGCTGATGAGTTGATGTGTGCGTTCTCACTAGACGGACCCCACCCCCTTCCAGTGAGATAGCTAGACCTCTCT